TACGTGGACCATCTCATGACCTTACTCTTTGACTGTTCTTTCAGTCATCTTCCCGCCCCCACTGGTCCCCACCTCCATTGGCCTCCACCTCCACTGCCCAGTGCCTTGGCACAGGAACACTATATAAATGCAATTTATATAGTGCTGCAGACATGACTTCGCACAAACCACTGCACAAAATTACAACTTTCCTTGTTTTTTCATTATCTAACTGCCTAGACTGTGAGTTTAAAGTCCCATTTTGTGATTAATTGGAAAACATTAAATTGGTTTTAAAGGTAAGAATGTTCCTAACATTAATAACATTAATGATTCACTTACCTTTTCCTTCTTTTCTCATCAAGCTCAAGCTTTGCATGTCTTTTTGTGAACGCACTGTCATCTAAATTCTAATAGGAAGAAAACAAATCAAAATTCAAACGGCCTAGTTACAATTACCCAAAAGAGTATTCTGTCCTGATCACAATCTAGTGAGTCTGTGCTAGTTCTAGGCATTAACCACTCCAAGTTTTGTACATTTCTTCTGCAAGGAGAAGAGAACAAATTGACTTATAGACGGGAACCTCTGCTTCAGAGAAATATAATCCACATTAAAAGAGCGCTGACCACGAGAAAGTGACGCTAGGAATTTCACGCTGCGTTTCCTTTTGTCGAGTGGCAACAACCTGAAAAAATGCCTCTGGCCTCATCGGAACTCCATGATCAGTCACACGCACACCAGATGCATACAGACTCATCAACTCATTCCCCCCCACACACACGCGTGACCCATGGTCTGACCATATAACCTGATCATATAATCATACAGAGCCTAGCCCAGCCCTCAGAGGATCGAGTTCAAAATCCTCGTCCTCACCTTCAAGGCCATGGTCTTGCCCCTCTTACCTGCTAACCCCTAACCAACCTGTCCTCTCCCTCCGCTCAGCAGGCTCCGGCCTCCTCCATGTCCCCCACCATCGGCGGCCGGACCTTCAGCCTCTCTGTCCCCACCCCCTGGAACCCCATCCCACAGGCCTGCAACCTCGCTAGAATGTTATTTCCCTTAGAATGTTCTTTATGTTCACCCTGAAGATGGGTGGAAGGAGGGTCTGGGGGATAGAGGTGGGAGGGGGGAGAGGCTCCTCCCCCCGAGCACATGCTCCTCCCCCCAGCGCGGGCTCCCCACCGCGGGGGGCTCCTCCCGTCCCGCGTGGGCTCCTCCCCTAACAGGACAGGCAACACGTGATGTGTGTATACGGGACAGGCAACACCCAGTGTGTGTCGGGATAGGCATGTGTGTGTGTTTGCGTAGGGATGTCACACAGTCACGAGGCACAGACACGCATTTCAGCCCAGAACAAGCTGCACGGCACTGCCCCTGACCTGGATTGCTGCTCACAGCTAACACGTGTCTAGACAGTAAGATTAACTATTTAACTGCTGGATGCTGCTTATATCAGGCACCTTCGTTGCTATGTACAGGATGCTTTAAAGATCTTGCTGAGGTTTAGTTCTGTAACACCACTAAGTCTGACATTCATATAAATTTAATTTTGAAATATAAAGTGCAAATGTGGGTATCTCATGCTGACAAGAATTTTGTGTTTCAGTGATTTACAGGATTTGTGTTTTTAAAAGTGAAGAATTATATCCAGGAATTAATTGGTTGAATATTATCTTTGTCCACAATTATGCATTCTTATTGCTGGCTGATTACAAAATGGTTTGTTTTTCTGCTTTACTTGACAATGGAATATTGGAATAAAATTGATTCAGATTGATACTAAAGCCCTGCATGGTTCTCGGTAGTCTGGGTCCGCAGTATTCCAGAGCGCTGCTGATGACAGTGCAGCCTGGCTCATCGGCAGGACGTGGAAGGGCAGAGAATTCTTCCACTCAGCACACGTTAACCCAGCCCAGGACGCTATCCTGCACGAAGGGCGTAATGTAAACACAAGTTATTGTGGCGCTACAGCTGTTTCTCTCTGTGCTGCACTACAGGGGGAGTCATCACCTATATCGGACCCGTCAGCTCATCCTCAAGCCCAGTGTTGCTGTGCAACGATAACTCAAACAGCAGTTTCCAGTCGCTATCTCAGTCGTGTTCTCCGTTACCACCGTCTCCCACCAGCTCCGGCTCCCAGGACAGTCATCACTACAGGAGCAACTCAGTGTGCGGAGAGGAATGCTCAAACAGTGGCTCCTTCAGCAACTTGAAACTATCCACAGACGATGGTAACATCGTTTCCACCAGTAAAAGCAGCTCTGCCATTACAAGTGAGTAACCTTTAGCGAGCTTTAGTAAGCCTTGGTGTTCAGGTTTCTGTCTGTTTCCCTCTTAAACATCTCCAAGATCCTAAGTTCAGCACCAAGCTTGGGAGCAGAAAGTTGTGGGTTTCAATCCCAGGGGATTCCTCTCAAGGTCAATATCGTGAGTATCTCATGGTAGGGGGTGGTCGCTGAGCCTCTCCATCTCTGAAAATAATTGCTCTTTGTTACTCTGTTTGCATTGGAGTCATTTATAAGCAAAGCATACAGGGCCACAATGGGGAAACTTACTTTATGGTAAATACTCACTTTAAAATAACATTATGGGATAAAATACATAGGGAGTTCAGGACATATGTGCATTTGACCGCCAGGAAGGTGAACTACATGGGCCTTGATCTTTTATCGTCCGGCATTTCTTATGTTCTTATATTCTTATGTACATAACAGAGAGCAGCAAAGCTCTTTGCCCACAGCGTCAAATCTATTATATGAGCAGAATAGACCCCAACACCACTGCACATTTAACCTTTTTCACTAAGAATCTTCATTAGTCATAACTGGTGGGCAGATCATGGAGGAGCTTTAACAGGTTCTAGGACTGACTGAAGCAACACAATTTATTGAACGCCAGAGATGATGCTTTTGAATCTTGTGGACAGGTATTTTGTTGACATTATTTTGTCACTACTGGGGCAGAATTCAAACGGGAAGTCTGGAGTCTTTGCTCAGATAGATTGTAAACAAATATATGATAAATGAAGCGTCTGTGAAAATCCATACACAATGATTTATTGTAGGATTGACAGAAATATCAATGTCAAGGCTGTGTTCTACTCCTGCCCTGTTCAGTAGTTTGTAACGACTGAATGAATTGCTTTCTGGGTGCAGTACTCTGAGACACTAACCTCATGAGTGGTACTTGGGATGTCCTCCTGACGTGAACATCACAAGATCAATGCAATTTGTTGTTTTTTCTCTTCTCCTAGAAATCAGTGGGATGATTCTCTTGTGTAAAGTATGTGGAGATGTGGCATCTGGTTTCCACTATGGAGTCCACGCCTGTGAGGGTTGCAAGGTAAGGAATTTCTGTGTAAATCATGCAACATTGCACCCATGAGCAGAAATAAATACACGACTGTTGACACATTTAGAACATACATGTCTATATATACATACAATAAATAGATACATGGATGTGCCTAAGTACTTGTGCAAACAGTGTGTACAAATGCATTCAGATCACATCTAGATATTCAGGCAAAAGCCAATATCACTCTGATAGTTATCCTTGATTTCATGAAAACGCGTGTAAACATACAATTAAGCCGTTACATATAAAGTATGAGGGTATCTCATCTCAGGTTACTTTGAGTTAAACAAGTTCAGGTGGTTAGTAACAGGTTAGTTTGCAACAACCAGATGATCAGACACAGTTACAGAAAGTGCAGCTTTTGAGGAATTTGTGTCCCAGTCTGGATTGAAAGGTGATGTTTAATGCGTTGTTGAGTCAAGGTTTCTGCTTCTTGATACGTTCACCTTGCACAAAGTTTGGGAAATCGAACATATTTATGTTAATGTTGGGGTTCGGTCTCGTATCGCTCAGGGATTCTTTCGGAGAAGCATTCAGCAGAACATCCAGTACAAGAAGTGTCTAAAGAACGAGAACTGCACCATCGTACGGATCAACAGGAACCGTTGTCAGCAATGTCGCTTCAAGAAGTGTCTCGCTGTTGGGATGTCCAGGGACGGTGAGTCTCTTATACTTAACATCATGCAGATTATCCTGCTCCCGTCTTTTTTCTTGATACTCTGACGGTTTTGTTCTCGGTGCTATTTATTTTCCTCAAATGACCATATATGAAGCCATGATAGTGTGTGTTGACAGATGTCAGGGAGCGTGTGGTGACCACCTTGTCCTCACACTGCCCTGACTGCAGAGATGAGATCCAGGTCATCACACACCATGATGCCCGTTGTGAGCCAAGTCCAATCCTAACAGCATCCCCTGGGGTTGAGAAGGGCACTCGTATTAATAACAACAATAATCCTTCCATTGTGTTGTTATGGTCTGAAAGGCTGGTGGAAACAGCTTCGATAATAACTTTCAAAAGGGAATTGGATAGGTATTTAGAAAGAAAGAATTTGCAGGGCTCTGGTGTGAGAGTGAGGCGAGTGGGACCAGCTGGTAACTCTTTCAAAGATTCGGCACAAGCTGAATGGTCTCCTTCTATACTGTAAGCCTTTATGATTCTATGATTTCATACAGCACTTTTCAGAAAGTGCTTACAAGATTTACTGTAAAGTGGAGTAACTGTATTTTTTTGTATAGGTCTTATCAATAGGATTCACACCCTGGCCTTGGGAATACAGAAAAACTTGCAGAAGTCGAATCAGTCAAGAATCATAACATTTAATCTGACTTATGTGAAGTCCAAGTTACAGGCAAACAGTATAAGTTGTATAATAGACGATTTAATCAATATTCTACACTGCCCGGGCGTAATTCAATACAGCCGGTACGTGTGGGAGTAATGGAGTGTAGGGGAGCTGAGTTATGAGTTAGGAGTTGATCAAAATGAGTAGCACAAAGAAATCTAAGTGATTTTGATAGAAAACTGAATGGGACTCGGGGGGGATGTACGACTTAGACTATTATATGATTTATAAAGATAAGAGTTATGCGAGTTTTACCATGTGACTCTTTGCCTAATAGATGTGCGGCTCAAGAGTGTTTTTACGTTGACAGCACAACACTGTAGGAGGTCACCAGGATACAAAGTGGAACCTGTTTTGTAAAGTGCCTCTTTCTCTTGTAGCTGTGCGTTTTGGGCGCATTCCGAAACGAGAGAAGCAGCGGATGTTGGCAGAGATGCAGAGCGCTATGGTGAACATGGTCAACATTCAACTCAATGGCAAACTGCAGAACGAAATCCAGCCCCAGCAGCAGAATTGGCCACTTGAGGCACCGTTGCCTGCACCTGTGCAGCCACAGCTGCCTCTCTACTGCCCCAGCACCGAGGCCTCGATGGATGAAGTCATTTGCTCAATTACCAGAGCCCACAAGGAAACCTTCACCTACGCCCATGACAAGTTAAAGCAAACATTGTCAGCCTGTCACTACAACAGAGAGCTGGGGAACCACAATGCCAATTGCTGCCTTAATGGCTACCACATCAACGGCATGAACACCATCTACCATCAGGACAACAACATCTTTCACAAAAACAACGGCAGCTCACCGAACAACAGCTATGCATCGCCCCACTCTAACGGCCATTCGAATGGACACATGAATGGACATTACCACAATCAAACTAGTGGGCAACAGTTATACACTAAATATAGCTGCAGTGACAGTGAGGCGAGAGAAACTGGCAATGGTCAGACCTGCCCTTGGAAAGGAATGAGCAGCGTAATTCTGGTAAGCCATTGCCATCAGGCTTCATTTAATCAATCAAATTCATTTAATCAATCAAATGGGGTTTGAGCAATTCTTAAAGGGCAGGTTCACAAGAAATATTTTTATAATGAGTAAATTGAACTTTCTACCAATGTACATAGTTAAAAACATTAAAGAGCATTTTCATAAACGCACCCTTATGCTGTGAAAGTCCATCCAGAATATTGCTATCAACCCCCAAAAGTCAGGAACATTTTTAAAACTCTTAAGGATTTTAATATCACTAAAATCGTTATATGTAGTAATCATAGAATCAAAGAATCTGGCAGGAGGTCATTATGCCCATCGTTCCTGTACCGGCTCTTTGAAAGAGCTACCAACTAGTCCCACTCCCCCACCTTTACAACATTAAACCCTGCACATTTTTCCTTTCTAAGTCCCTATCCAATTTCCTTTTGAAAGCTATTATCAAATCTGCTCCACCAGCCTTCCAGGCAGTGTGTTCCAGACCATAACAACTCTCTGGGTAAAAGAAATGTCTCTTTGTCTCCCCTCTGGTTCTTTTGCCAATTATCTTAAATCCGTGCCCTCTGGGTACCACCCCACCCGCCAGAGGAAACAGTTTCTCCTTCTCTATCAAAACCCTTCATAATTTTGAACACCTCGATTAAATCTTCCCTCAACCTTCTCTGCTCCAAGGAGAACAATCCCAGCAACAATCTCATCTCCACATAATTATAGTCCCTCATCCCTGGTATCATTCTGGTAAATCTCCTCTGCACTGTCTCTGGGCACCACACTTCCTAAATTGTGGTGCCCAGAATTGTACACAATACTCCAGTTGAGGCCTCACCAGCGCTTTGTAGAGGTTCAGCATAACTTCCTTGGTGTTAAATGTTCATGTTTGGATAATTTTTTAAAATGCAAGTTTGTGCAAAGTTTTGCAAACTGCAAATATGTATTATTTATTATATGATTTATTTATCAAATGGGAGTCTTTAAAAAAAGGGCTGTAGAAAACTGGCTTCCAAATTAAGTCTGAATTTTAGAATTTTCTGTACAATCATTTGGGTTAAGGTTTTGAGCTTAAGGCTAGAAATGTGAACTGTAAAACTCACTCAGCACTGCCTCATCACTGAGCCTCAATGGATGAAGCTATCTCCTCACTTACCAGAGCATATACACCTTCAACTATGTCTATAACACGCTCTTGTGTTTGTGTGGGTGAGAATGACAAGAGGCAGTGATGGATCTAAATGGGCTTTCTGAGGAACACACCACATGGTTTGTTCAGCAGGTGTAAGTCTGCCATTGAGCTCCAGGATGAGGCAGGCTTGTCACTGATGGAGCCTCACCGGCTAAAGGAATCTATGATTAGCGTTGATTCATTGTACTTCCTGTACATCCCGATGAAAGTGGTGAAAGTGATCTCCTCAGAAACAAAGTAATGCCAGTGTTTGTTTGCGCAGGCCTGCCCAATGAACACGCACCCACACGCACACTGCAATCGCTCTGTACAAGAGATCTGGGAGGATTTCTCACTGAGCTTCACACCAGCTGTTAAAGAAGTTGTGGAATTTGCAAAACTTATCCCAGGCTTCAAGGAGTTGTCCCAGCAAGACCAGGTCACTCTACTGAAAGCAGGTGCATTTGAGGTAAGCTTGCAGCTCAATCCCAGGTCGTTGCTTTGGTGGTTAATGGCTAGACATGAAGGTGCTGTTTAAATGTAATTGTATTGTATCCCTATCAGTGCCTGAAAATAACCATTAGAGTTCATTTTCAAAGGTAACTTTTAAGATTGTAAGTTACTAAGCTCTGATTAGTTCCCAGTTAGGGCAGTAATAATAATCCTTGCATTTGATAAAGTGTCTTATTGTGTCTTCGAGACTTCTCAAAGCGCTTCACAGAATATACTGTAAAGTGAATTAACTGTATATTTTGTGGGCGAAATGCGGCGAGTGCTCTAAACACTGAGCGACAGGATTATACGGTACCCTGCGTGAGGGTCACTATATAAATGTTGTTGTACCTAGTCTGGATAGTTGATAGATCTTGTTCACAAAGTTGGTTTGGATGAAGAAGACCCTCCTGCCCATCCCATCTCATACTTCCAGAACCCACCCCCACTCCTCCATCACTGCCTCAAGCTGCTTTTTAAATGTGTCCAGTGCCCCGGCCTGAACCACCATTCCTCACCAAGGTCTTATGATCTTGCACCAAATTATAGCTGCAGAGAATAGCCAGTGAAGTGTGGACTAGAATAGAACGCTCAGCGTCTGACAAGGATTTCATTTTCTGCAGGTCCTGATGGTGAGATTTGCCTCATTGTTCAACATGAAGGAGCAGACGGTCACCTTCATCAGTGGGACAGCATACTCTGTTAGTGAGCTGCGGGGGATGGGCATGGGCGACCTGCTCAACTCCATGTTTGACTTCAGTGAGAAGTTGGCCTCCCTGCACCTGAGCGAGGAGGAGCTTGGGCTGTTCACAGCTGTGGTGCTGGTCTCCGCAGGTAACCATTGAGCCCCAGCCCTGCCCACCGGCCCCGTCCCGCCAACCAGCCATGCCCGGTCCACCAGCCCCGTCCCACCCACCAGCCATGCCCTGGCCAACCCCAACCCCAGCCCCGCCCACTGGTCCCACCCACCAGCCACTCCCCAGCCACGCCCTGGCCAGCCCCCCGCCCACTGGCTCCGCCCACCAGCCGTGCCCCGCTCAGCCCACCCACCAGCCCCGCAGTGCCCATCGGCTCCGCCCACCGGTCCCGCCCTCCAGCCATGCCCCGGTCAACAGCAGCCATGTCCACCAGCCCCACCCCGCCCCATCCACCCGCCATGCCCTGGCCACCAGCCATGCGCGCCCAACCCCCGCCCTGCCCACCAACCCCGCTCACCAGCCCTGCCCCGGTCACCAGCCCCGCCCACCAGTCATGCTCCGCCCCCCCATCCACCAGTCCCGCCCAACCCTGCCCACCAGCCCTGCTCCGCTCACCAGCCACCACCCTCCCCACTCTGGAAAGCTGGTCACTCAGATCTTTCCCCTTGGAGTTCACTGAATATACATGAGCTTCCTTCTTCTCACACTGGATTGCCTTTCTCCTGGTGATTTGTCTCCCTCTCTCTCTCTCTTGCCGCTACTGACAACTTGGAATGTCATGAAGTCGGAGCAGGCAGCGTCTAACCTCCTGTTTGTCTCTCACAGACCGCTCTGGGATTGAAAATAGCAACTCTGTGGAGCAGTTGCAGGAAACTCTAATTCGAGCCCTGAGGGCGCTGGTGATCAGAAACAACCCCACCGAAGCCTCTCGCTTCACAAAACTGCTGCTAAAGCTCCCAGATCTTCGCACCCTGAACAATCTGCACTCGGAGAAGCTGCTGACCTTCCGCATAAACCCATGATCTTCACACGGACACTTTCATCCCGATATAAAGATTTTATTTATGTTCAGAATGGCCATTATCAAATTGGCAAATTGTAAATATCTGTACATTTCAGACATGAAGGGAGTGTAATATATTCTTATATGGAATGTTTTATGGAAACAAAATCAATATATTTAAGACGTCCTTTAGGATTATATATCCATGCAGAACAGTTTACTGTCCTTGGCTGTGCCTGAGCTCGGGGGGGAAGTGAGGGAGAAAGGAGAGAAGGAGAAAGATAAGAAGAGCGAGGTAGAGAGGAGGAGGGAGAGCAGGAGGAGAGAGTGAAAGGGAGAGAGGGGGAAGCATTGATTCCTTGTGAATTTCAACAAAACGGTCTGGATCAATCCTCACTTCCAGTTTAGTTACTGCCAATTACAGCCAATCTAACAATCACAGCCAATCATAGCCAATCGCCAATCACAGCCAATCACCAATCATAGCCAATCGCAGCCAATCACCAATCGCAGCCAATCACCAATTGCAGCCAATCACCAATCACAGCCAATCACCAATCGCAGCCAATCACCAATCGCAGCCAATCACCAATCACAGCCAATCACCAATCACAGCCAATCACAACCAATCACAGCCAATCACCAATCACAGCCAATCACAGCCCATCACCAATCACAGCCAATCACAGCCCGGCCAAAGCAGACAGCAATACAATGGGCCCAGTGATAATCACACACTGAAACATGTGAATGACTGAGTTTTCCCTCCAGGACCTCAATGAACAAAGCCTCAAGAGTCAAAGCTTTGGTCGAGTCGCTGCCTACAAAACTGCAAACAATATCACTGAATACTGTGGTTACTGTAAATACTTCTTGAAACACTTGTTGCTTGTGCATAAGTTGCTGTAAACTTGTTGTCTCCTTTGTGGCTACCGCCACCCTCTGGCCCCAGCACGCTCTGGGGCTGTTTCATTAAACTTACTGCATCCCGTCTCACTGTGGCTTGGCCATTCCTGTGTTTATTAGCCTGACACAAACTTAACAATCAGCACCAGAGAGAGAGAGAATGAATCCAAATTAGCATCAGTCACAGAACAGAGGAAACAAAACACCACAACCAAATCATTAGTCATTGTGGAACCATCCCACATTTAACCATTTCCACTCCAGCAAATATAGTTCCATCGTTTCACCTCTGAAATCTTCCACATGTAACTCAATGCTAAGATTCACCAAACAGCGAAAAAACTGCCCTTTGATATCATTCGTCTAATAATCCCTCCAAAAAACAATAATAAATTGGTCATTTTCAATCTACGACTGTTTGTGGGACATTGCTGTGCGCAATTGGCTGCCGCGTTCGCCCACAAATATACAGTCAATTCACTTTACAGTGTGTTCTGTGAAGCGCTTTCGGACGTCCTCCCGACGTGAAAAGCGCTATATCAAATGCAAGGATTATTATTATTATTCGAGCCCTGGCCCCGCCTCCGTTCCCTGGGTGATTGGGAACCATTGGTGGGATACAGGGGGAAATTTCCTGCTTCCCCAAATAGATTGTCCATCCCGGGCAATATACATAATCCGGGCCCCTCAGACCTCAAAGTCCTAAATCCATGTCCATCGCTATTGCCATCCTTAAGAACCCAAACCGCACGAGAATTCCATGCATCCCACCTATACATGGAAATCCCAGAGATGTTTGCTGGAATGGAATGAGCTCTTCCTCTGTGTAGGGATGCATCCTGCTAAACTAGTTGCGGAAAGAATTAGGCGCAGGCTGGCAAATAACAAGGGTTGTAGGGAGGCCAGAATGTGCATTGGGGGAACTGCTGGGGGCTAACCACAGCTTTCACGCTGCTTGTCAGGACTATCTGTCAGGACTTTGGCTTGCAGCAACAACAACAACCCTTGCACTTATATAGCACCCTCCATGCAGGGAAGCATCTCGGAGAGCTTAACAGTGGCGGAGCCTGACACCAAGCCGGGGGGAGGGGGAAGGTGAGAGGTGGCTGTAAGCATGGTTGAAAAGGAAGGTTTTTAGGCCGGACTTGAAAAAGGAGAGAGAGGGAGCAAAGTGGAGTGATTGAGGGAGAATCCAGAGTTTCGGGGCGTGGCAGCTGAATGTGCAATCTCCAATGGTGGAGTAGAAGGCGCAAGGGACAAGCAGGAGGGCAGTACAGTCGAGCGGAGACACCTGTTGATGGGAGTGAAGAGGTTGGAGCGATCGGGAGGTGCCAGAGAGTGAAATGATTTGAACACGAGGATCTTGAAGTCGATGCGTTCGGGGATGGGAGGCCAGTGGAGTCTGGGCCAGAACTGGTGAGATGTGGGGACAGAGTTTGGTCCGGGTCAGGATGGGGGCGGCAGAGTCTGAACGAGCTGATCTTATGAATGGTGGAGCTGGGGAGACCGGCGAGGAGGGGATTGGAGTAATCCAGGCGGGAGGTGACAAGCGCAATCACAAGGGTTTCGGCTGCATTTGGGGTGAGGTACAGTCAGAAGCAGGCAATGTGGCGGAGATGGAGGAAGCCAGTCCTATTCAGAGATCGCATTTGGGGGAGGAAGGACAGCTGGGGGTCGAACTGGACAGTGAATCTGAGGGAGAGCCCAGGGAGGTTGAGGAGTCCAGATCTGCAGGAGTGAAGACTTTGACAGGAGCCAAGGAGTATGGCTTCCGTCTTGTCCACATTCAGCTGCAGGAAGTTTACACTCATCCAGGGCCTGATGTCTGCCAGACAAGCTGATAGAACATCGGGGGGACCTGGAGTCGATACTCGAGGAGGCAATGTAGATTTGTGTGTCATCCGCATACATGTGGAAGTTTACCCCGTGACTGCGGATGACATCACCCAGAGGGAGCACATAGATAAGGAAAAGAAGAGGCCAAGGATGGAGCCCTGGGGTACGCCGTAGGTGTCTGGGTGAGGGTGGGAGGAGAAACCATTTGCTAAGATGAAATGAAGGCAGTTGGGTAAGTAGGACTCGAACCATACGAGTGCGGTCCGACTAAGGTAGATGAGCGAGGAGAGGTGGTGGAGGAGGATGGCGTGTTCAACTGTGTTGAACATGGCAGAGAGATCCAGGGGGACGGGGAGGCTGAGGGAGCCCTGATGACAGATGGAGGGGATGTCGTTTGTGACTTTGACAAGCGCTGTCTGTGCTGTGGGCACTCAGGGCACAAACCAGAATGCAGGGGCTCAAGGAGGGAATGGAGGAAGAGGTGTGACTGAAGTTGACCTGCAACAATGTGTCCAGGACTTTGGCAATGAAGGGTTGGTTGGTGATGGGACGGTAGTGTGAGAGTTTAGAGGGATTGAGGGTGGGGTTTTGAGGAGGGGCGGTGACAGCAGTTTTCAGGGAGAATGGAACAGAGCCTGAGAAGAGAGACTGGTTGACTGTGTCGGCCAGCAGGGGGGAGAGGAGGGGGAGATGAGTGACCAACAGCTGTGTGGGGAGGGGGTCGAGACAGCAGTTGGTGAACATCATCCTGGTGATTGTAGATGAGAGGGAGGAAGAAATGGGGGCAAAGGAGTGTAAGGAGTGGGGAGTGGCTGAACAAGTGACCAGTGACCAACTAGTGACCAGCAAGTGATCCGTGACCAACCAATGACCAGCTAGTGACCAGCCAGTGACCAATCAGTAACCAGCCAGTGAGTGACCAGCCAGTGAGTGACCAGCCAGTGACCAGTGAGTGACCAGCCAGTAGTGACCAGCCAGTGAGTGACCAGCCAGTGAGTGACCAGCCAGTGACCAGCCAGTGAGTGACCAGCCAGTGACCAGCCAGTAGTGACCAGGCAGCCATTGAGAGCAGCTGTAAGTGGGTGACATTTTGACGCTGGAAACAGAAACCAAGTCTTGATGAAAGTCTTTCAGTCACGTTTATTACATAAATATTTATAGTAAAATAGATCAGCAACAATTAATCATAAAAATATCTTCCTTTAAAATCCTCACCATAAACAAAGATGTATTTAATGGTGCGTCAGACGCACTGACTGATTGTCAATAAGTGCAGTCACATCCAAACCAAAGCCACAACCATCTGATTGTCCATTTATATCACAGTGAAAAGAAGGGAAGAGGACATGGACTCATTTGATGAGTGACAAAGGGAGACTCTGCTCAGCACCAGAGGGAGCGACACAGCGACACTATACCATGGGGGCAGCTCCCCACCAGCTCCACACCCCCCGGGCACACAGCATGGCCGCACCTGGACTGTGGGAACATCACAAACCAGCGCACACCCCCCTGCACACAGCCCCCCTGCACACAGCCCCCCCCTGCACACAGCCCCCACCTGCACACAGCCCCCCCCTGCACACAGCCCCCACCCTGCACACAGCCCCACCTGCACACAGCCCCCACCCTGCACACAGCCCACCCCTGCACACAGCCCCCACCCTGCACACAGCCCCCACCTGCACACAGCCCCCACCTGCACACAGCCCCACTGCACACAGCCCCCACCTGCACACAGCCCCACCTGCACACAGCCCCACTGCACACAGCCCCCACCTGCACACAGCCCCACTGCACACAGCCCCCACCTGCACACAGCCCCCACCTGCACACAGCCCACCCTGCACACAGCCCCCACCCTGCACACAGCCCCCACCTGCACACAGCCCCACTGCACACAGCCCCCACCCTGAACACAGCCCCACTGAACACAGCCCCCACCCTGAACACAGCCCCTCCCTGCACACAGCCCCCCCCTGCACACAGCCCCCACCTGCACACAGCCCCCACCTGCACACAGCCCCCACCTGCACACAGCCCCCACCTGCACACAGCCCCCACCCTGCACACAGCCCCCACCTGCACACAGCCCCCACCTGCACACAGCCCCACTGAACACAGCCCCACCTGCACACAGCCCCACTGCACACAGCCCCCACCTGCACACAGCCCCACTGCACACAGCCCCACCTGCACACAGCCCCACTGCACACAGCCCCACTGCACACAGCCCCACCTGAACACAGCCCCCACCTGAACACAGCCCCCACTGCACACAGCCCCCACCTGCACACAGCCCCACCTGCACACAGCCCCCCTGCACACAGCCCCCCTGCACACAGCCCCCCTGCACACAGCCCCCACCTGAACACAGCCCCACTGCACACAGCCCCCACCCGAACACAGCCCCACTGCACACAGCCCCCACCCTGAACACAGCCCCACTGCACACAACCCCACTGCACACAGCCCCACTGCACACAACCCCACTGCACACAGCCCCCACCCTGCACACAGCCCCACTGCAC